GCAAATTGAATATTTGCACCACTCAAACTTCTGCTGTTCCTCTCAGCTCTAGCTTCAACAGGGCTGGCATTTAATCTCTCTAGTGGTAGAGGGTTAAGAGGAGAAAGTCTTGCTGTGACTTGAAGAACTTTGATCTGAGAAGGTGAGTCTACAAATTGCCCTTAGTATCTCCAATTCTGCTGAAGGGTTGCTGAAATTTAGGTTTAAGTAAGTTTCAGTTGGGTACTAGAAACTTCAGCGTATTCTGTTTAAATGTACAGAAAAAACCTGCTACTGGCTCACTTTCACTATACAAACTGGCAGCATGTGGAAAAGTGGCCTAAGGTACGAGTGCTGGTACAAGTCTCTGATTCAAACCTTAAAGGGCCAGACAGTGTGTATTTATGACTTGGTGCAGTGTTATCGGAGTGCTGAGAATGCACAGAGACAGCACTGCTGAACCTGCCATGTGAAATTTTATGGCACAGTTCTGAATATGAAGTCCCAAAACATTGTGTTACTTAGGACTGTATGAGAGTAAGCAGGAGCAAGTAAAGTTACTGAAGACACACTGAGATGTTAAAGGAATTCCAGGAAGCATTTTTTTCCTTTTATAAGCTTAGGCAGTCAGTTCTTATAAACTAGAAGAAGTGGTTGAAATACACATGGCAGCTTCAAGCCTGCAAAGTCAGAGGCACCTTATGTGGCAGGTCCTCTGAACAGGGCAGTAGCTTAAGTCATGTTTTCCTATTGAAATATAGCCCAGAAGTTAAAAAGGTTTACCTAATATATCATTAGGTAAAATAATCCCTATAAACCACTTTCCAGACACATTGATTAGAATAAAGGGAATTTTTTTTTAACTACTAAGTAAGCTTCAGGCTCCTTACAAAATAATTAACATTCCATAGTTACCTAAAAATTAAATAACTGGAGCTCTCATTAAAAGACCTATAAACCCACACAGGTTAGCTAAGCACCAAGTTACAGGTGAACAAGACACAAGTTCATAATGAAATTTCTTTATCCAAGATGTTACAACTGTTTGGGATTACTGGGGATGTTCTTGTATGTAGAAGTTTTTGTTTCTTGAGGAGGATTAGGTTTGATTTTGTTTGTTTGTCAGTTTTCAAATAGTCGATTTACTGGCAGCTGTTGCAGTAACTTTACAGTACCATGATCTTCTGGACTGCTCTCATCACTGCTTTCACTGCTTTCAGTGGCATCCTCTGGAGTGCTCATGCTGTCCTCCTCAGAGTCTTCCTGGCTTTGTGCTAGACTGGAAACATTTTTCGGGGTTATAAAAGCAAAGTAACTTATAATAAGAAAAACTAGTATTTAAATTAAATTTCATTACCTTGGGGAATCGACTGGCCTGTTGGGATTAGAATACTCTTTTCCGGAGTCAACATCAAATGGATCTGGAAAAAGGAAGAAAAACTGCACATGATGAAAAAGATTTTTTTTTTTTACTTTAATGGTCTGCCCTCATTTTCATAGAAGATTACTGGCAGGGAGGGGAAGGCCTAGGAAGTCTGGGTCAGTCTGTCTGATAAGTTTACCACAGTTGTTTGATCAGAAACCAGGGTAGCTGGAAAAGACAGGGGAGGCGGCTTATACAGCTGGGGAGAACTGTTACCAAATAAAAGTAAAACAAGGCATGACAGCTTTGGTACTGAAGTCCATCCAGAAAGTGCATAGGTTCAAGTGTGCTTTATTTGGCATAGTCTTGTTGACCCTTAAGAACTGTCTTCAGTTTAATGTAACTGGTTAGGCTTCCACCAAGCAATGGTTTCATTCCATCACATTCCAGTGCGTAATGGCAAAGAAATCAAAGTTCAGAGCAATTAAAGGCTGTCTCCTTACAGTGTAAGCCCCTGGCCTGTTTTACTGGGCTTAACCACTGTGACAGGAAAATGTTAATTAGGAGCATCTCTTTTCATATGTTCTTGATTACTTGATTTTTCTTTCTTTGTGCTGTCTTGAATGAGATCAAGCAGTCACCTGTGAATATAGCTTGAAATATTGGGATTCGAATAACTTACTGGAAGAATTCGGGAATAAACTACCTGTACTTATTATAGATGATTTTAATTATCTTGATAGGTCTGATTTGAAATATCTTGATTGAGGACTATATAATTATGTTAACTGAAGGTCTTTCTTAGGTTTATGTTTAACTAATTTGCTGTCAGACTGTATGGTTGTATTTTTATTACAGTTCCTTCTCAATTACTAGTCTTTTTACTCATATTCAGCTTTTAACATCTGTGGATAAAAAAAAAAGGATCCATCATATTTTATTTTTGGTCCTTAGTTTTCTTACTAAGTATCTTACTTTTTTTCTTACTTTTCTTACTTAGTATCCTTACTTGTATCAGGGTAGCTGCTTCACAGTTCAGCTGGGAAAGCACTACTCTATGCATTGAGTTGCTTTAGTCATTTTCATCTATTTTAGTTGAAAAAAAATGGGTAAACTTTCCTATAAGAATACACAGTACAAGGATAGCAGAACATATCTCAGCAAAGCACTTACCTTACACCTTGCCAATATTTTCCTGAGATCAAAGTAAAAGACTGTAAGGAAAGCAGTTAGGAAAAAGGGGTGTGTGGTGTCCCTGTTTTTTTTTTTTTCTTACCTACTTCTTCATCTTTTGTTTCTTGGACACTGGCTAAAAAGTCCTTCTCAATGCTTAGCACATCGTCCTGGCTACGACAGGCTGCATATTTTTCCAAGAGATTTTTGTTCAAGTCAATAAATGCCTTACCCCATTTAAATTTCCTCAGAAGAATAGTGGCTAGGTCTGGGAATCCTAAAACAGAAAGTAAATGATCGGTTTTCTTTGTCAGTGTGAGATTTCACTCAGCCTACAGGTTTCTAAGTTCAGTACATACCTACATATCACTAAAACAGATGTTTGCCAGCATTTTTTTCAGTGTTAGGGGATTAAGACTCTGAAAATGTATTTAATATTTTTTAAATTTCAGTTTAACTTGATCTATCTAACTGAATCCAAGAAGAGTTCATAGCCTTTTAATGAATGTTACATAAAAATACTTTGTTCAGGTAATGAATGATTCAAGCCCTAGGTCCCACAGTCCTTCAGTACAAGAGCATTTGCACATACAGTATGATCAGAAAATAATATTTGTCTGCAGTGTGGTAGAGTATTTCTCTTCAGTTGTCAAGGTTCTGTGATGAGTTTGCAAAACATCACAAGAAGGTGCAATTTCTTTTGTTCTTACCCAGAACCCACCCTGTTAACAGACAGCTGCTACCTCTCAATAAGGCAAAGGTGCCTAAGGATTCATATTGTCTTCTCTGGCTTTTTTTTAGCAGTTTTTCTAACATTATGCACCATCAAGACAAAACCAGGATTTAGTTCATGTGTCCTGTTTAGTAGCTGACATGAACACTCCACAGGTACCTCAATGCTACCAGATGCAAGAACTTGGAAGAAAGCTAGGCAATCTGATCCCACACTCAGCAAACTGATAACCAGTGGGACAGCATTACAGTTTATTTTACTGCAGATCATCTCTTCTGATTTATTAAGGATGTAGGAGTTGCTGGCAACATACTTCACATCAGACAAACTGAGCCTACCAACAATGCAAAATGCTGCAGCAAAAGCTTCCACGCAGGACAACTTGCACGGCCGACCATAGTTTACAGGATTTGCAGCCACCAAGTAAGGCAGCAACCGAGGATGATTCCCCCTCATTCTCTTAAAGGGAGTTTCTTCTAATTTGGCCCATGAGCAATCTATGACTGCAATTCCACTCTGAGCAATGACATGCCTAAAAAAAAGAAACATCACTGTATTTGAAAAATTATCACCATTATATTGATGAAGTGAGAATTCCAATTGCCACTTTATACTAGCAACAAATTTGCATACAACCCCCGCTTGTGTCAATCATGACCTAAAACAGAGAACAGAGAACAACAGAATGAGAAAGAATTATAACATGGGTTTCCTTCAAACATGCACGTGGTAAAAAGTTTATCCATATGTTTCAAAGTGAAATATGAAAGCCGCTAGGTTTAATAATGTGACAGACAAGTGCTATTAACAGTAATGTTCACAGTCGTAAAGAACACCAAAATTCGAACTGAGGTTCTCTGCTAGCTTCTAAAGACAAATCTTTTCTCTGAGGAAATACATCTAAATTCTGCAGGCACATTTGGAGAAAATTCTCATTTCCCTCAAAAAGTTTTTTAGTTAATGCATTGTGCTGCCTAGCTGAAGAACTTAAATTTGGCATCATAAAGAGAGTAGCTATAGGCCCGTGCTCTGAACAAATTAACCTACTACGTGTACCTTGATTTCTCATTCGGATCTACAGAAGCTTTTCTCAGCTGATACCAGCTATGTAAAAGTGTTAACCTGATTTGAAGAAATGGCTCTATTTCTCATGTTCATGCATCAGTGTAATGTCATGGGAAGGTCAAATCTATTCTGTATCAGAGTTTTGGCCAGGAACCAGTGATTAAAACGTTCTCCCTAATGCAGCATTAGGACGGTATTTGAACCAAGTGCTTCCCCTCACAGCCCGCGACAGCAGGCACGGGGCCTCACCTGTCAGCGGGAGAGACGTACTCCGTGGCCAGCGGACTGAGGACGACGCCCGGGAACCTCTGGCGGAGACGCAGGGTTCGGAGTAACCCTTTCCGGGCCAGTTTTCTCCCGGTGCACTTCTTGGGATCGCAGTGTCCGAGCTCCCACATAGCAAGGGGGCAGGGGAGCTTCGCCTCCGCGCCGCCTCCGGCCGCGGCCCCCTCGCCCTCCAGGCAAGCTGAAAACAGCGGGCACACATCAGTGTCGAGCGGCCGCAGGCCCAGCCCTGCCGGACCCGCCGGCCCAGGCCCGCGTCCCGCAGCGCCTCACGCACCTCTCAGCGCAGCCTCCGCGTCCGCCCCGAAAGTGTCGAGGCTTCGAGACTCGCGCCGGCCCCCACGCCGACCCCGCACCATGACCGCGCTGGGCGGAGCGGCCGCCCTAGGCCCGCACGCTTCCGCTTCCCGCGGAAGGGACGATGGCGGCCCAGCTGCTGCTGGCGGCGCTGGGAGCGGCGCTGGGTGAGACGGGGGCCGCGGCGGGAGCGGGCGCCGCGGGTTGTTCCGTGCGCCGCGGCCAACGGCTCTCTGCTCGCAGGTCTCTTCGCCGCGGCGGGGAAGATGAAGATCGTGGAGGAGCCCAACACGTTCGGGTACGTGGCCGCCCGCTGTGTCCCGCGATCCACCCGCACTCGGCGGGCTTGGGCCCGTCTGCCGCTCCGCCCGCTCCAGCCCGTCCCTTCCTCCGGGGATGGGGCACCGGGCCGGGGCAGGGGCCGTCGGTGTTGGGACACACACAGGTAGGGGAGGATATATCCACGTCCAGATGCGTAATAGCCTTAAACGTTTAACTTTCTTTCTTTTGAAAGGTTGAATAACCCATTCTTGCCTCAAACAAATAGGCTCCAGCCAAAGATGTCCCCGTCTGCAGTATCAGGTATACGCAAGCGTTACTTTTTTTTTTTTTTTGTACGGTTTTCATCATTTAGCAACAGTTGTTTGCAATGCAAATTGCCTACTTTGACTTTATGCAGCCACAACCTAATTTTGTATGTCATTCTATAAGCATCATAAGATTATGATGGAAACCAGTATAGGGCTAGTGGGAACTTACAGTAATACATATGGAGGATAAGAATTTCCTTATGTATAGCGGAGACCTAAATTTGTCACATACTCCTTGCAGTTTTGTCACCACAGTAACTTTCTTAAATTTAACCAAAACATTATTCTTCCTTTATGTCATTTTGTGGTGTTTTTAGGCCCTGCACATCTCTTTAGGCTTGCTGGCAAGTGTTTCAGTTTTGTGGAATCCACGTGAGTAATGGATTTGGGTCTTCGTTTTCTTACTAGGAATTAACTAGTTTTCCATTTCAGTCTGAAACATTTCTTATTTTCATTTTCTTTTCTTTTAAGGTACAAGTATGAGTTTTGTCCCTTTCATAACGTCACTCAGCATGAGCAGACATTTCGATGGAATGCCTATAGTGGGATTTTAGGGTGAGACATTTAGATCTTTAAGTTTTACCTATGTTGTTAGCAGGCCATTTTATAGATTGTAAAAAGGAGGCAGTTTTAACATTAAGATTCTTCTGTGGGTCAGCTTAGGTCATTATAGTTCCCAAGGCATTATGCATAAAAATATCCTGCCTTGAAAAATTCAGATTTCTTTTTGTTTGCTTGATAAATACTAACCTCCTATTTTAAATGGTGACTGATTAATAACCAGTGCCAACTGCAATATGTTCACGTGAGAAAATTAATAATGTATAACTACGGCTTATGTTTATAGAGATTTCATGGCTGTTAACTATTTGCAGTTTGAGTTAAATACAAAAATTACAAAATGAAAGGAGGGCTTTATGCCTAGTGGTTGTGTTATCGTTTAATGAAAAGTTACAAAAGACTCAGTGTAGATCCTCAAAATATTCCCATTTTCAAAGACCCCAGATTATAATACCCCCAAATCATGAGATGTAAAATAAATCTAATTCTAGACCAGAGCACTGCTTTTTTAAGTATTTTGCATATAGATGTCTTTTTTTCTGGATGCAAAATGGTGAGCCAATATGTGAGGAAAATGGTACATCAGCATGCTGAGGGTATCATTTGCTTTAGGACTAGCAGAACTACAGTAGATTTTTAGGTGATATTTTACTGGATTTAAACACAGATTTTAAGTACAAATGGTTTGCAAATTGAAAGTTGATCCAAAACTGTGCTCTCAAAAGTGATACTGACACGCCCTGTAAAGCAGCCCGGATAACAAACTACGCTGCATGTAAGGTGTTGGCTGTAAGAAATGGAAATACTAAGACCACAAAAATGAAGTATATACACTTGAATTGAACGTGGTATAATGTATTCCTGGTTTTCTTCTTGAGTGTTCAAGTCTTTCTTTCCAGTAACCCAAAATAGTGTCCTGTTTTTTCAGAATCTGGCATGAATGGGAAATTAACAACAACACATTTGTTGGAATGTGGATGAGGGAAGGAGACTCATGTGAAACTAAGACCAGACAAACAAAGGTATAATAACCTAGGCTATGCAAATTCAGACAGCATGGCTACACACACACACTTGTGACACTCTACAAACAGAAACATTCCTACCCTGAAAAAGTCCTTATTTAAGCTATGATAGAAAAAGATAAATTCCTGTACATGAATGGATGGAGGAGGGAAGCTAGATTCAGGATGAAATTTTCAAGAAGTGTACTTATGTGTTCTCACTGATTACTTAAAACTCTTTTTTTCCTTGATAGAATGAAATATTCTAATTATTACTGTAGAAATATACTTGTAATTTGCGTCAGGAAAAATAAAGAAAAAGAACTGTTGGTTGAATTCAAGCTGCCAGCCTATTGTACTAAGAACATCCACAAAAAAGGAGGGAAAAGAATTAGGCAGTTAACAGTAGCATACCCAGAAATTAAGTATGATGTTAAAAGCAGCACCAAGGGCATTTCAAGAAGGACACTGAGGTGATGGAGCGTGTCCAGAGAAGGGCAACAAAGCTGGGGAAGGGTCTGGCGCACAAATCTGACAAGGAGAGGTGTCAACCAGCACCCTCAGGTCCTTTTCCACCAGGCAGCTTTCCAGCTATTCTTGCCCAAGCCTGGAGCAGTGTGGGGTGGTTGTGACCCAAGTGCATGACCCTGCATTTTGCCTTGTTGAATCCCTTGTGATTGGCTGCCAACTTGTCTGCCAAGACGAAAATGTTCTATACTGTAGTGGAGGTGCCTTTATCTCCCATAGGGGCTGCAGGAAAAAAATTAGTAGTCTTGTATGACCTTTGATATTATGATTGAAATCTTTCATAGGCATTTTGTTTTGACAGACAGAAAATACTGGGGCTACAAAAGTAACGAAAACAGTTTTATACGGTCTTGTACTCTTTGTTTAGCACATTGATCAGAAATAGAATTTAAGCAAACTGTGTTTACGTCAGATAAGGCTCTAAAGGGTGTCCTATTCCCCCTCCTGTTTACTCTCATTCTTGCTGGAAATATGGTGCTGGGAGTTGAAGGAACAATGGTAGGTGGGGAATCATTTCCCATTAGAGGAAGCAATGTTCACATTTGATAAAATAATTTGACAATGTGCTTGCTATGATTCTTTTTCTGTGGAAAAAGGAAAAAGGACTGGAAGCTTTGACATGACAGTAAGTATAGAAATGCATCTGCTGGCATTGGAACACAGCAAATCGATCATCAATGCTGGTCCTGTTTCATGTGGACCTTTTTTGCTCATCTTTGTTTTTACTGATGTTTAGGTTCATCTTGTTTGTGGAAAGAGCAATAAATTGGCTTATGTGTCTGAGCCAAGTACTTGTGTTTACTCTGTGACATTTGAGACTCCTCTCGTGTGCCATCCCCACTCTCTTTTAGGTAAGACTTAGAAAATCGTTTGTGGAGCAGCTGGCATATTACACTAACCTCAGAGTGTACATTTTTAGGTTCTTTACGTGTGTACCTTGATATAAATGAGTATTACATGTAACATATAATACAAAGTGTATTTTAAATCCCAGTCATTAGAACACACAGATATTTCTCAAATAAATTGTCACTGCTGATATAGACCCAGTGAAGGATGTTTTTCTTTATTCTTGGCCTGGTTGTAGGAATCAGCCCTGTAGTATCTGCTCATTTTACGAAGAGGCAGAGCTCAGAATCACATTGAGTGAATAAATATGAGGCCTTGCAGCTGGATATAAGAGAAAAATATCTGGTCAGAGGCATTTTCCAGAAACTTTGAATGTGTGAAGTGCAATTTAACTGCAACCCTTGAAAGTAGTAGAGACTATGTACTGTATGAAAACACTTGAGTTCTTAGAACAAATATGCTTGCATGTTACTAGAGGGGGAATTAACTAATGCAGGACAGTGCTGTTGGTTTTTACATGGTTTGACTTCCATTTTTCAGTTTATCCAACTCTGACTGAAGCACTGCAAAGGAAGTGGGATGAAGCAGAGCAGCTTCTGTATGATGAACTAATAACTGACCAGGTTTATTAACTTTTTCCAACTCTATTCGGTGAAAAAAAAAAATTACTGTCAGTAGCCAAACCTGGCTTCTGCAGTTTCTCCTTTTGGAGTAGATGCATTTATTCTGCAGTTGGCAAATAATAATTTCATGTTCTGTAACTGCTATGAGAACTGGTAATTGTAATGTTTTCTACAATGAAGCTTGAGGACTTGGAATGGCCATTGCAAAATACAAGCAGAGATCAGAGTTGAGTGGATCGATCTATTGTCTTTTGGAAACTTTCTTTTTTAGGGTTACAGAAAAATACTGAAAGAGATTTTTGAGGAAGCGGGACTTCTAAAAGCAACAGAGGAAAAGGAAGCTGAGAAACAGAGTAAGAAAATAAGTCTGGAATTCAAAACAGTGGAAAAGTGCAGTAAGGTATATAGCATAATATTTACAATAATAAATTTGTGGAATTAAGTTGCCACCTTTATCACAGTATCAGTGTGACAGCATTATGTAAATGCTCTTTGGATTCAGCTGGAATCTGTCATGGGATTATCTTTTCTGTTTTCACTATGTAACACTGCATACAGTGTGAGTTGTTATCTTTATTGTAGGCCTTAAGTCAAAACCGAATCAGTTCAGATGAATGCTCAGTAAGAAGATGGGGGGTATGTAGGAATTAGTGTATGCACCTGGGTTATGAACACCTTGTAGGTACTCTTTCTGGGTAATATCAGTCTGGAAATAGGAAGGGATTAATAGTGCAAATAAATGTGTAACCAACCTTGAGTATGCTGGTGCTTCTCTCTATGGATAATTACCCACACTTGTGTCAGGACACACTGGCTGTTACACAAGCAAAAAGCAGAATGACCTATGCTGTGTCCATTTCTGGGTGTGTGAACAATTCTTCTGCAACAGAGTTGGAATAAGGAAAATAGAGGTAGAAGGGGTGCTCACTCTGAAAAGAGTGCAAGCTGAACATCAAAAAAAGAGCACAGAACGGAATTAATTATAATGCAGAGAAGAAGTTGCTGTTATTTTATTTTAAAAATGTAGCAAAGACAAAACACCAGGTAGAAGTTAATATATAATCAGATAGACTGTGGTTAACCTGAATATACATATATAAAGATTATGTTTTGAGCTTATACGAGCTCACTCATTAACAATACAGTACTTAATAATTTGTACTACTTTTTCTGGCTTCATCATAGCTTAACTGACATTCAATTGGCTGTTCTGGTAACCACAGAATTTTAAATAGTTACTCTTTTTCTCTATCTTTATTCATGTAAACACCAAAAGACAACAAAAAAATTTGGGCTTCTCTTGAGATATCAGGTATGTGGTTTGTGTCAAAACTACTAAGCAATCCCTCTCTCTGCAAGTTAACAAAAACTAAAGTTACATGAAGTTACTAGGTCAAGAGTTGAGGAGGTGACAAATTTCCAGACTGGAGCATTATGATAAAATAAAATAAGGCTAGTTCTGAAGCAAACTTAAGAATGCTAAAATGCTACTTAGAGGACAAATTCGAAATAGTTAGAGAAAGCACTCCTAATTTTTACACTCAGGCTTGAGAAAAGCTGGCTCCTCTTTTGGCAACATAGACATGCACCTTCTAAAATTTGCACCTTGTTTTTGGAATAAGCAGTTTACAATCTTTTAAGTCAAAAGCTGTAACAGGTGTGCACAGACCCATTATTTTTTATAAACTCCCATGTTAGGTATGCATTTGGAAAATGGAAGAACCACTTTAAATGTATTTTGTTTTTTAGGAATACAAGCAACTTTCTGAAGAAATAAAAAAACTTAAAGTTTTATTAGATCAGCATGGTATTTCATACAAAGCTAATTCTGGTGAGTTTTTTTGGTATTGTTCTTTTTTATTGTTGTCTATTCAGAAAGTGAATACCCCAATGCTGTTTTCAGTTATAGCAACAATTAAATAATCTGGGATATATGGAGGAAAAATTCAGAAGACAAAGTATCTAATAAGTATTAAGGTTTTGATTCCTGTGCAAGAGGACTTATTTTGCCCCCCAAAAAAATCTGTTCATGACTTGAAATTCTAGCTTTATAGAAAAAATGTTGACTGCTGTTGTACTTGAAGTTTGTCTCCAGTCCTTAATGTGCCATATTAAAAGGAAATCAGTGTTACAGCATTGATAGCATAAAAGTGTCATCTAAGTAATTCCACTTTCTGTATGTTAACCACAAGGTCTAACTTCTTCTGTAACGCTTGAAGTGTTCTCTGTATCTGTTTGAATTGTTTTTTTCCTTTACTAAGTCACCTGTTTCTTTTTCCCTCTCTTTGATTTCTGTTAGGTAAGTAAGTACCATATCACATGCAGTTTTTAAAAGAAAGACTGGTTCTGGCTATGAAGAAATAAGGCTAATCTGGATTAATTCCAGACAAGTTGGGGGTTTTTGTTTTGTTGTTGGGAGTTGTGGATTGTTCTTTGTGGGCTTTTCTGTTTGTTTGTCTCCTCTCCCTCATTCCTTCCAGGCCATCATGCCCTTTATTACACGAACTGTTTGTTAAAGGAAAATTTAAACTCGTGGAAAATAAATAGATATGATATATTTACATTTTTTATGTTCAGAATTGGCACTTCAAGAAAACAAAGAACCTTTGAGCTAATTAAATTAGCTTAAAATTAGTGATTTTTTTTTTTTTTTATTTTTGCTTTGAGAAACTTTCTTACCTGTTTCTTTTAAATTAGTGACTTTCTTTTCTAGGAAAAAAAAATCTTTTAAAATTTTTTAAAAACATTTTATCTGCCCATTTAAACTATTAGCATATAACTTGCACAGTATTTCTGTGTGTTTGGTAGTTCTATTAATTATTGCAGTGGTTCTTTTAAGTATTGCAGATTAGAACTGTATAATCAAAAGCATAATTCAGTTTACTCTGGATGACTTATTTCAAAACTATTTAGTTAATTCTATGACAAAAACGTTTTGGTGTTTAAAAGCAAAAATAACTGATGTCTTAAACTACATTTTACAGCTGAAAATACCAGTGTTGAATATGTAAGTCACAAACTGGCAACTGCAGTGACAACAGTTCTTAATGGCTCAAAGGATGAGCACCTGCATGGCGGCACAGGAATTTGGAACTACACTGTATGAAGAAACTTGGGTGGTTCATATGGAATGTCAATTAAATTGAACATATGTCATTCCACTAAAATGATTTACCTTCTTGCAAGTATTCTTGATTTTATGAATTTCTGCCCTAAAGCAAAGTAAGTGTGAGGGCTCACCATTATGAGAACAGCTGGCTAGTTTCTGAAAACATTTTTAAAACTTCTTTGCTAAGACTGGTATTTGGCACAGGTTTACAGATGCTATGTTTGTCCAATCTCAGCTTTGTTTTATTGATCAGGTGTGGTAACAGGTGGTGTAACAGAAAACAGCTCAAGAACAGTGCTGTTAGATGTTGTACGAAAGGTAATAAATACAATGTTAAGAACATGTTATTTCATCTGTATGCTAAAATGTTTTCTGCGGACTTTTGCAGAAAAGGAAATGTTTTCTGCCACAGCAGTGCATAACACACCACCCACCCATAATCAAAGGTTGATGTCATCTTCAGCGATCATGTTAAATGAAAGCCGTTCAGGATCTGAATGAAACGTGCAATGAAATCGTTGAATTGTTATAAAAGCATAATTGTGGTAAGGGAATACCTGGCAATTGTCTCTATGTAATACGGAATAAAGCGGACTCTGCGACCACCAGCTGTGGAACCACCACTGCCGCAGACGGAGGACGCCGTCCGTGCTCGCTTTGGCTCCTCCTCCTGCGCTGTTCGTGATCCCCTCACGGTTGTGGGAGGACTCGGCGCTTCCCCTTCCGAGCGGCGCGGGGCGGAGCGGGATGATCTGGACGCTGGGCCGCTGGCGGTGAGGAGCGGGGCTGGGCCGGGGCCGCTGGCGGTGCGGAGCGGGGCTGGGCCGGGGCCGCTGGCGGTGCGGAGCGGGGCCGCGCCGCTGCCAGCGCCCGCCGCGCCGCTCACGCGTGTCTTTGCAGGGCTCGGCCGCCCCCGCGCCTACCTGAGCCCCGGAGGGGGCTCGCACGACGGCGGGAGCCGGAGGGTGCGGCGGGCGCGGATCCGGAGAGCGGGGGGCCCATTCCCTTCTCCGGCAGCAAGGCCAGTCCGCGGGTGTGGAGCGTCAGCCGGTCCATGGGGAGCGACCACGAGAGGCCATGGCTGAAGGTGTTGCCTTTCAGTGTGCTGTGCACGGGGATGTTGCTCTGGTGTGTGTTCAGGGAAAAAACGGAGATCGATGAGCGGTTGGAAGCGGTTTTCTCCGGCCAGATCGTGGACTCTTTAGATATGGCCCAAGAAAGCAGTGCTCCTTTGGAGCTGCCGAAGGAGAAATGAGGACGGGAGTGCGGCTACAGTGAAGGAGCTGCCAAAAGTTTGCTGGCATTCACCTGATTAAAAACTGTACCGACTCATTAATGGAAAAAAACTTGGCTTTTTTAGTCTTTCGGCAGCCTTATCTTGCAAGTTTGATTTCTTCACGCTGCTTTCTGCGTTGGTCTTACCTTAGCAAAAGGCGAAGTTTCTTTCTGGGTTGCACGGTAGGGATGAACAAGACATATTGCAATGCAACTTGAATTTTAATATAAGTTTTATATAATCACTCTTCCATGGATCATTTTTCTTAGATGCTTGGTGCATTAAAAAAAAATAATCTCAATGTCTTTAAAATTGCTGCTGAAGGTGACCTTCATTTGACATTTTGGTAGTCACAGAATACGTTCAATTTATATTGCAGGCCAGCTGTAAGTGTAGTCATTAATATGCGATTGTGTTCTGATTTTTTTTTTTTTAATTCGGCTAAATAACATGCATCTAGTCCTATGCTTTTGGGACTAGAACTTTTTAGGCATGGCTGATTCAGGTGATCATTACTGGTAGGAGGGCATTTTGCAGAGAATCAAAATTATTGGCTTGCATTATGTTGGGGAGGAAACCCCTGGTTTCCTTGAACCATATAATGCCTAGGGTTTTTATGCAGGTTTATAGATGCACACTCTGGAGACTTTTCTTGGAGAGGAGAAATGTAAGATACTAATACAACTTTGTTCCCTTCAAAATTGAAGGCAATTTTTTTTAAGCTTTCAAATGTAAAAATGGAAGATTGGTTTTATGCCATTAAAACCTGTAATTAAAAACCAAAACCCCCCAAAGATGGCAGCAGCTGTTAAGATAGGCTGGAGTGGTGCACAAAACTGGTATAGGATCGTGTTTGTCCGATACTGCTAATGAGTCTCTGAACAACATGTGCTATCGTGGCATTTGATTTTGCCAGTCCCTCAGTTTAACCACACCGTGCCTAGTAAATGAATACACTTGATTTGGTACTGTCACAAGGTTTAGTCTTGGTATTCAGCCTATACTACAGTAGAATGTTCCAAGTGAGGTTATATGCATAGGGGTGTTCTGCTGAATAGAGGAGTGATCCTGGATTGCTTTTATATTGAAGCTAAGGTTGCTCGCCTGTTGCTCTTGATTAGTTTTCTTACTCCAAGTTCTATGAAAACAATGAACCCGGCAACGTGCTGCTCTGTTTAAGGAAATACAGAGCTGCCCCTTCGTATGTGCCTTGTTTTGGGTCATGATAAGCGTTTAATAATAAAACTGTTCTCACAGTCTCTTGCTTTCACGGTGTTGTGAAACTTGTGTGCGGCATTTTGTTATTAAAAGCAGAGTACAGGGTCATCAGCCGACGCTCCCCGGATCAGCTCTGCGTGCTCTTAGTACAACACCCCTTCTACGAGGCGACGGAGGGATCCCTGGCGGGCAGTGCGGGTCTGCGCGCTTCTGTGTTGGGGTCGCGACAGGCGCGGCCCCAGGAGGATGCCGCGAGTGCGGAGCGCTGCGCCCTGCCAGCAGATCGGCGCACGCGCAGTTACTCTTGACTCGCCAGTGCTGCCCGCTGATCCGAAAGCGGCACTGCAGCGAAGGAACCTGCGCGCGCGCGGTACCCGCCGCGGCTCGCCTTGGGGCCCCACGGGCCGCGCCCTCACCGAGGGGAAGGGCAGCGGAGGACGGGAAGCGGGCGGCGGCCTGGCGGGGCCCGGGGGACGCCCGCTCAGGGCGGTGGCGCCCGCGGGGGGGCGACCGAGCGGGCGGCACCGAGTGGGGAAGGAGCGGCCGCGGTGGGGCCTGGCCGGTTCCCAGGGCACGACGGGACTTGTGGTCTGCCGTCTTTCGGGCGGGGGTGGGGGAAGAACATTATGAGGTAAAACCGCGGAAATTAGTGAGGGACGTTCTGAGGGTAAAATCGGGAATCTGAAGTCAGAGCGGAAGTCGCCCAATGCCGTGCAAAAGATGGCGCCCTCCTGACCGAAAGTTCTTGATTACTGTTTTGAGCTTATACGAGCTCACTCATGGGAACAATTTGAATAAGGGATGTTCTTGCTGAGAATTCCACCTGGTAGATCTTCCACATTTAGGATTGTATCATGGACAGTGTTCCCAATAGGCTGGAGATAAAGTTTTGAATCTTAGATTTTCAGTGATGTTTTGTAAAGTAGGAGAAATTGTGACTTTCGAAAGTCGATGAACTAGTCTCTATACATATATCTCAAACAATCTCTTCCAACTGAAATAAGAACTACTCCTATGAAAACCAAATTTCCTTTAAAGGGAAACACGTTACATGCTCCTGAAGGAGCATTTCATCTTTTTGAGGGTTCAGAGTTGTCTTTGTCCGGAGGTTGATGCTTCACGTAATGATGAAGTGTTTTGCTATGAATTATGCTTTCAATTTTTTTTTTTATTTTTTTTCTCACTGCCTTTTGTTCTTCTGATAGTCTATATGACCATGTAGAGTCAGGAGGAAGAGAGGAGAGCACTGAATTATGCTTTGGTAAGCTATTTTAGTAATGACTTAATTCAGTTCCTTGCTCTAAACCAGCTCACCGTCACCAGTTTTGGTCACATTGTGGCTGTACGAGATGTAAATCAAAGGTGACGGTCCTATTTTTACTTGGCAGTTGTCCAAGCCTTGGGTCAGCATCGGTTGTGCATCAGTGCACACACATGTAGTGTAGTGGCTTGAACTCCCTGTAGGAAATGGTTAACTTGTGACAGGGAACAGCAGCTTTATTTTGCTCAGCCTGCTAGAGGCCAGTGAGGTGTCAGCCCTTAACTGTTGGAACCCTGATTTTGGAATTCAGCCTCACAATTAGTAATCATTAAAAGAATTCAGAAAAGCATTTCGACATGCACCTCTGTGAAAAGGTATGACATCATTACCTATGTTGCCTGTACTACTTGGTCAAGATGGACTATGAGCAGTAACTTTGGAAAAAGAGGTTAAGATTCTGAAAGGAGAAGACAGTGATATGAAAGGTGTGGAAGCAAATAAAAAAGAGAATAAAGAGCAGGGCAGCAGCTAGAGTGGCTGGCAAGTAGCTTAAGGAAGTTACACTTGAAGGGAGGAGGTGAGGACAGCAAAAAGAATGAAATAAGAAGAGGTGGTGCAGGGTTATGGAAAGGAGAATGGAAAGGAGGCAGTGAAGGAGAAGTTTGATCATCAGCGAACCCTGAAAAAATGAAATCAGGGCCACAAAAGTATTTGTGTTATGTGAAAGAAGTGGTGGTCCTGTGCAAACTGAGTGGGCTGGCCTCCAACTAAGGTCTGAATATGTCAGGGGGTTTCAGAGGGGAGAAAAGAGGTGTGGAAGAAAAGCACCCTAAAGAGTAGCCAGTGGGGATCATCGGGTTTTGCAGCCAAGAAAAACAAGGACAGAGATGAGGGAATCGGGTTCCAATGACTAATGATTTGATGGGTGTACGAATCATTCCCAGCCGTTTACAGTCCTCGCGCCGGCCCCGCCCCCCGGCTCGC